GGAGCTTCTCCTCTCTTTCTTCCTTTGTGCCCCTTCTTCTAAGCCTGCTTCATATCCACGAGGGCGAATATACCCTTTTCGGGTACCCTTCTCTCCCTTCTGCTGCTCCCTGCCTGGCCCCCCTGGCTCCTTGGACTGACCTCAGCATCTTCCGACATTCCCCCACACCTGGTGCTGCCACACCCTCTTGCCACAGAGATGCTGCTGCTGCTGCTGCTCTCCACCTCATGAAGTCTTTTCCTCCTTCGCATCCCATCTGATATTCAGTCTGTTTTCTGGGCTCCTGGGACATACCCTTCCAGCCTCTGAACACCACCAGCAGGGAGGGAACAGCTGCCAAAACTGGGAGTACATTGAGTCTTACATTTCTGGGCTGAGGAGCTTGTGTTGATTTCAGGCCAAAGTGGGTCTAAGTGCAAGAATTATTTTAAGGTTTATTTGCAGGGCTTCAGCTGTAGCCGGTTAGGCTGAGGAGGCTTGGAGTTTCTTGTTCTCTGGCGCATCAGCGACTCCCTAGCTAGGAAACAGCAGGATAGGTGTGGTAGGCTTATCAGAAATTAAGGAAGATTATCTTGCAGACAATTGGGGCTTATGTTTTGCTTTGTTTGCTGGCCAAGTGGGCTCTTTTAGATAGGTGTGGCTTGGTCTGACTCTAATCTGCTTGTCTTTTCTGCACTGTTTCCAAGCTGTGTGAGTTCTTTATGACATGTCTGGACTGTACAGATGTTAACATGGAAAGAGAAATCCTTAGTTTGCTGAACGATGGGCACAGTACATGGAATTATGCAGGCATTTCTAGACTTAAGGGATCACATGAACGCATAAAGAAAGCAGAAAAATGTGTCTTATGGAAGATGTAGTCTTGATAGCTGAAAGCAGAACCTATGCACCTTATTTACACACAGGTCTCATTTCCTGCCAAAGAACTGAATTAAACTAATGTTATTGACTTATCCACTTTATTATTGGAGTACTGTATATTTCCTGTAAGGTCTCAAAGCTATAAGCAGAAGTTTGACTTTGTTTCCTGGTTAGTGCACCAGTTAGTCACAGTCTGTGTTACCATTATGTTGGGAATTCTCAGCTGTATCATCAGGTTGCATAAGTCTGTGACAGAGATTGTGGTGCTTCAGTGTTTGTATTGTAAAACACTTGACTCATTTTAATTAAATGACTGTCAGATCTGTGGTGCTTTTAAGCAGTTGCTAAGCTTTGGAGTTGCTCACTGCTCTGATGTCCTCCTGACCTATATTGTGGGAGAAGGGATGTTTCCTGTTAGATTTGTAACCTTGTCCAGGTTGTAATTCCTAGATTCCAAGGTATTTCATTACAGAACAGAGGATGGAGCTCATGATTTTGAACATTCCTGTTCATTGTGGAGCTGGATTCCCCCACCCCACTCTAAGATCTAACTGAAGACAGTTGTTTAGGATTATGCATACTACTTGCACTTGTTAGTACTTGACTGATTTTTGTCAGGTTTGTCCTATTTGAAGTGTTTGAGTTTCCTCTTGGCTATAATTGGCTTCCTACAATCTTGACATACGAGAAACACATTTTCTGTATTTGGGAAAACATCAGGAGCACTTACCTCAATTAGCAAAGGCTGCATACCTAATTCTGTAAGCTGCCTTGGGTCCTGTTTAGAAAAAAAGCAGGATGTAAAAGTTTTAGGAGCTTGGCAAAAGAAGCCTGCCATTGAGAGGAAAACCTGGGTTTTTAATTGAGTGTGGGCTTAATAGGGAGCTGCCTCTAATTGCATGTGAGTCATACACATTTAAGTAGTATCAGTTGGACAAACCTCTGATACTCAGGTGCTGGGAGGCTGTAATGTTATGTAGCACTTGTAAAACCATACCTTTTCTATAGAAACCATAAAGCCTGTCCCTAAAAAAGTATGAAACTGAAATGTCAGGCCAGCAGGTGAAATTAGGGCACTTCTGTCCTCTTCTACTTACATGCCTTCATGTTTGGTTTTGTTTGGGGCCCTTTCAACAAGCGGTCTTATCTCCTTTTTTCTGTGTTTGGCAGAACATCAGAAGTGCCCGCCTCACTTAGCAAGAGCTGAACTCCTAGGCTTATTGATCTGGTATAATATCAGACACGTTTCACTTCAAGGGAATGCTGGATCTTCCCATGAAGGGCATTGTGCTTTTGGCCAATGTTCTGGTTCACCTTTTAGTTTGCCAGTGATTTAGGACACTTTGTTTATTTTTAGCTGTAGCTGAATTTCTGCTTAAAAAGTGAATTACTGAGAGTAGAGCAAGTGATTTCAGAACCCTAGCTAGTGTTGCTATAAATAAAGTCCAGTGCTAAAATCCCCGAGTCATCATGAGTTCCTTGAAAGGGAGGGGAGTTGTCTTCAGCTGCCAGAGGTGACATTTCAGGTAGCCCACCTTGTATTGCCCTGTGTGGAGAATGATGATTTCCATTAGTTTCACACTTATATGCTAAGCACAGTATTTAGTTTGCCAATATTATGGTGGGCTGGTAAGAATCTTTCCTTACCAGATGTCCGATTTGTCATGGGGTTAGTCTGTTCTCCAGCTATGTTCTTCAGATATGTATGTGTTTTGGGAATATTTGGATGTGGATATTAATGTTTTGCATGCCAGAGAATGTCCTGCTCAACAGGGTGCAAATGATCTTGTTGACAGCTGGCATCAAACTAGATTTATAGCTTGAGTGACTCGCCACTAAAAATGGTTTTAGCTAGTTTGTGGTGCAAAGGTACTGGGTTGACAGAACCCCCAGAGACCCTCGCCTTTTGCTGCTACTTCCAGATATTGCTCAGCCTGTATCAGCATAGATGACATGGCGCTGCATATTTGGTTTCTTATCTAGATGCAAGTGTTTTGCAAGTGTTAGAATGGGTATTGTTTCCACTAAGTGCTTTTCAGCATCTTTGAGAGAGACTGCTTGTCTACACCTGTAAGGAAGTCTGCCCTGAGAGATAATGTGATGAAATGGGATGGAAGCCAAGTGTCTGTCCTTATTTTTTAAATGAGTGGCTCTGAGGACTGTTCTGTGAGCAACAGTTATCCAAGCTGACCACCAGCTTAGTATTTGTGAGTTGAAGATTCTGGTAAGCCTCATGTGCTGTGTTAAACAGGTCTTGGCCTCAATTAAGAAATCATGATTGCTCTTGTAATTTGTACTTGGACATTGAGCTCTACAGTAAAATAATGACATCTAAAAACTGCAGCATCTGACTGTGCTTTTTCTGACGTAGTGGTTTTGTTCAGGCAATCCCTGAAATTATGGTTTCATGCAGGGATGAGCAACTTTTGGGAGGGGTGTATTGACATAATTTGAATTCACTGGGGCAGAATGTAATCACATAAGTTGCTGTGGTTGAAATAACAACGGAAACAATGCTATGCGCTTTAAAGTAAGGTGCACCCTTTTTTTAAGGGAAAAAAGGAACATCAGAAGGAGGGTTGTTCTGCTACTCTAGTGGCAAATTCAGTCTGACAGAGATTCAGAGGAGGACATGAGTGGGATTTGTTACCTATGTGTTTGCCATCCATGACTTAAGGTAACTGTGGTTCAAACCATGCCTTTTTTGAGCTTTTTTGGTTTTTGGAACAGAATATGGTGTTCCAAGAAAAATTCTTGATTTCTTAAACATTTATACTGCCTGGTAAGTGCAAAGCACTAATCTAGGTGATTAACTGTCATATGAAAGCAAATACAGTAATATAACAACAAATATAAGCAATAAAGGGTACAGCCATAAAATCAAATTAATTGAAAACATAAACCAAGCAGATCAAAGGCATCAACCATAATTGGACAGGTAGCACAAATTAGCTAATTCATGTGAGGATGCCATAGAAAGCCTCTGTAAAGAGTGTAACAGACAAACTGAGAATATACTTTCATTCATTTAAAATATATTTTTATCCAGCTTTTCTCCCTAAAAAGGACCCAAGGTGGCTTACATCATTAAACTGTTTAAAGCTAACAGCAGTGAGTATGTAAGTACTAAAAGGGATCAAATGAACCTTATACTAGGAAAGCAGCATTAAAACACACTCAAAGCCAATAAGGCACAGCAATCTATTTAAAACCCCACTAAGTTAGCCAGTCACTAAGGGGAAGCTTCCTTGAAGAGAAAGGTCTTCGCCTGCCTTGCAGAAGCAAAGAAAAGATGGGTCCAGTCTTTCCTCCCATGCAAGGGTAACCCCACATAGAGTGCATTGACAGTAATCCAACCAGGATGTGACTAAGGCTTGTGTCACTGTGGCTGGATCAGACCCTCTCCGGGAATGGGCGCAGCTAGCACACTAGTTTTAATTGTACAAAAGCATTGCTGGCCATGGCTGGAACCTGGACATCCAGACTCGGGGACGAAGCCAGGAGCACCCCCAAGCTTCGCACCTGAGTTTTCAGGGGAGCATCACTCAATCCAGCTTCAATCCTTTTGACTGACCAGGGGCAGTCTGGATTAAGTT